GCGTGGTAAATTTAACAGTTTGTCATCACCTGACATCTTCAGAAAAATGGTAGCCGTCCCAATCGGACAAATACTGCTCTCGGCTTATGGATGGACGTCGATGGGCATGTACCTCTACTTGGTTTCCAGAATTATTGTATGCCGTATAGGATCTAACTCTATTAAGCAACAGTTCAAAGCCTCCTACTATCTGCTATTCATACTGCAAGCAGCTGCTGATTTCTATGTGTTCCTGTCTATTGAAGTGATACAGAAACCGGCGCGCTTCAATTACTTCAACATTTCTGAGGAGAGATTGCAGGGCTTCGCTGTACTCTCATACGCAAACATCATGATATCAAGCTCAGTGATCAACTGCGGTCACGTGGTCATTGCTGCGAACCGCTGGACTGCATTTTACAAAACAATGAGCCATGAGAAGGTATAGTTCATGTTTGGATCTTCTCATAACCTTTCGAAACCCGTAAATAAAATAGTCCCCACAATAGTGTCACTCCCTAGTGTTCTCCCGGAACCACCTTCATGAATTTCATTTTGTAGATGAGAGCGAATTGTTCAAAGAAGAATGGTGCTCCGTTCAACCATCAAACAAGACCAACCATCTGTTGCACAAAGTTTGAGGGCTGGGGGTGGTATCTGGGGTTTCGGCAGCATCTAAATTTGGTTTTCGTGTGTTGAAGGGGTAGGACTTTTGGGACAACGGAGCTGTGTTATGCAGTGGAGGGAGAAAAGGGGTGTGAACTACAGTGGTGATGAGGATCATGTTGCGGGAGCTCTAAGGAGGATATGGAAGGATCCCGGAGGTTGGTGGGGGGGGGGGAGGGAATGTAGAGTCATGTCGAAGTCTTCTTGGAGCAACGCCCTAGTAGAGGTTGTGTAGAAGCCTATTCAATTGAAAGGACAACGTAGCCTAGTGTATCAGTTGAACCCTTGTCGCAGCTCGAAACATGTGTAAAAATGGCGCAGGGCCAAAGTGAGATAACCTACGAAATATCTTGTGCACACCCCATTCCCTATGTGGATTACGTGTAACGGCCAATTCGCAAACGTGCTGGTTAGTGAGCCATTGAGCAAAGAAGTTCAGACTTCTTCCGAACGTGCCTCCCCTTCTGAATGAATTGAGGCAGAGTCCTCGTTTAAGGGCTTTGCTGCAGGTTCGCCTTGCCTCTTTTCATTTCCAGTCAATTCGCCATCCACCGCTGTGACCCTACCACTTCGATCTGGAGTTGTTAAGAGAAGGGTCGCGAAAAATTCTTGGAAACGGCACAACGAGCGGTTGACCCTGATCTTATCATAGGATAAAAGTTGATCATCAGAACGAATCCCTTAAAGGACGAATTCACGATGAAAAAGCAACCCATTTCAAATTAACCTAGGGATGGTGAGTGGTACACGAAAGAAGGAAGAACCATGAGAAACGGCCCAGAACCCGAGAAATGGGACCCCTTCCTTGCCCGTTGATTTGAGCATTGATGCGACTCTCATCGCTGTGCCCTCTTCAACACTACGCTCTCTCACCTATCTAATCACTCGCCACGTATAGACCTGCGGCGAGTGATCAGATGATCGGTGGGCGTGCACTGGCCACCGCGCCAAGATTGAGCCATAATAGGTCGCCGAGGTCAACTTTTCGGTGCAATTGCGCTTCAGTTCCGCACCCTCAGGAGGTCCGCGGGTCCCTCAACTAGGTGAATTACTCCTTCTTCGACCTTCATTCTAATTCGTCCTTTAACTTACAGATATGGACACGAGCGACAGTTTTCGGAAGCGTTTGCGGTCTGTGGTCAATTTTCGTTATATACTCAGTAATAGCCATTTACCGATTTCAAGATACCGTATCTTTCATCGTCAACAAAAATGGGGAATTCACAGCGACTAGCAGTGCGCTGAATCGCGTAAGTACTGCGTTATCATGAGCAGTTTAACTCCTTCTCCCTACTTTCCAAAGCCCTTCTATCTTCATCGCTAACTGATCCCTTGCAATCGATGCCTCGTTTAGTCATTCACCATCATTAATTGTGTGCGGGGTGGCGCCACAATAGTGTTGTGCTCAGTATTCTATTCAGCTGCTTTGATCAAATGCCATCGATCTATTCAGAAGAAAGCGGTAATCATTCACTTTTCAAATATTAGTCAATTTTAGGGAGAATGGCCACGTTGTGATAGCTTCCGTTGTTCAGTTGATTTTGAATACGTTGTGTGAAACGACTTGGACGGAGATGTGGCCTATAGGCTTTCGAAAATGGTTCTGACTAGATTTTTAGTGAAAAAGTGAATGCCTTCTAATGGGTGCAGGACTTTTGGCTCGTCCGGGCTGGCACGCGGCGAGTTGCGCGGCGATCCGAACGGTTCGCGGGCTCTGCAATAGAATTCAACACGTTAAAGGGTGTTGCGGATAAACCCCGCACGAGTCTGCGGTATGGAAAAACTTTGCGCGCGGAGATTTCAAAGCAGGAGATTAGGAGATTTCAGCGCAAAGAGTTGAGAGAGGAAACCTACAGGAAATGGCACAACTATCATTAAAGTGATAAGAAACACTAACGAGTTTTGGTGAGATAGTTTAGTGTCAACTATTTACTGATCGCGGCGCTCATGCCATTAGAAGGAACATTCAAAACAGGGCCAATGGTAGGTGACTAGAACTAAGCCCATAGGGGAGAAACGCCAGGGAGAACACAAATTGCTCCCCAGAGTCCCTTACCCTAATCGAGAGGAGTGATATTTTTCTCCTTCTCTCTTCTATCTCCCCCCTAGGCTTAGTCCCGAACACAGTAATTGGCTCACTCACTCCCCTTGAAAGTCTCTCCCCCAACGACATGAGCGCCTTGATCGCTATGACAGCACTAAGCTAGTTCCTTCTCAACTGTTCTTACTTGAGTTTTCTTACCAACACTGCGAATCGCAGAATATGCGGATTTTATCCGCGGTACACGCTTTGACGTATTCAATTCCACTGCAAAAGCCCGCGAAGGTTCGCCTCGTCCGGATCGCCGCGCAGCCCGCCGCGCGATTTGCCGAGTGCCGACCCGGATGAGCCAAAAGTCCAGTGCCCGTGAAAATACTTCTAGGTTTATAGCTAGGAATGGCGTAGTATACAATGGAAGGACATTTCACTAGGAATCAAGTTAGAGGTGGTCAGTGATGCAAGTATGAAAAGAAGCGAAAAAAAGTCAACCCAGAACCCGAGAAAGATAACCATTTTG